TACTCTGCTGGTAAGGTCGAATTTTGTTCTTTTTCGAGCCTACGTTTTTTATTATAGCGAACGTGACGCGACTCCTTCTTGCTTGGACGGTTTATCTTGCAACATAATAATGGGATTAGAAATACAATACTATTCGACGAGCCGTTAAGGTTAAAAGCCTAGAGCCAATGTCTTGCTCAAGAAGAATAATACGTATTTACTTTTGCGATCAAAAAAGAAAAGACAGCATACTTCATGCGTAATAATAACCACCTGAACTGCAACAATAATCATTCGTCCCCTATTATCATTAATCGGCAAAATGCGTTTCCAATAGAAACGTTCAGGAAAACATCAATCTGAGTGAAAAAAATAACGATCGATATATGCAAAATGACTCTGTATATATCCATTAGGAATTTTTTAGTGTAACTTGCGGCGAACCAATATCGCGTTACAATAGATTTCTCATTTTACATGTAATTTGTTCTTCTATCATTGTTCTCATTACTTTCTACACAGTGAAACTCGAGTTCAGGATCATCTAACACTAACGCTAACGCTAATTAAAAAGATCCTTTTATTTTTTTTCATTAATCTCTTTAATTCCTTGGTGTTGTTGTAAAACAGAAATCAATGAGAATGGAGTTTCTTTCAAGAAGAGCAACAACTTCATGATGAAACACTTCCCATATCATGCTTGAAACTGGTAAGTGGAATTGAAGAAGAGTACGTAACTAAATAACATGCATAAAAGAAAAAGATTGATTTCTATAACGTTTTGCGTACCCGTATAACGAACACTCATGAACAGAGATATCAACGTCAACGTTAACGTTATACTAACGCTAATGTTAGATTAATAGTAAACGACGACAACGACGAATTGCTAGGATCAAGAAAGTAACGGTAACAGATTACTGCGTTGTTTGTTATCGTTATACTGTATCGGTATATACCGATACCGATAAGTAGATTTTCGATTACAAATACGTATTTGGCAGATCATCACCCCCTTGATATACGGAATAATATTTGTGTGGCAAGTTTATGCATATTTAAATATATGGAGTAGCGGATATTGGATCAATTATTTTTGGCGTTGGGTAATATGTGTATATGCATATATTCATCTTACTGAAGAAGTACAAAGAGGCCGTTATATACCTTGGTCACAATATTTGTCATCGATTTTATACTTATTCGAACTTTATGGCACAATTTTGCCATTATTTGGTTCAGCATGGATATTGTGGGTACATTTCACTTATGCTGACTTGCTACCTTCCGATGATACAAGCAAAGAATCTCGTTATTGTCAGCTGTATAATAAGCAATGTCAAGCTGAGGTTATTATTTATTCGTTTGCCGCGTTATTTTTATGGATTGTTATTGTAAGTACTCGATGACTTTCTTTTAGCGTTATGATATCGATATGCTA